GGGTGGGTGGGTGGGTGGGGAGAGGGGGAAGGACTCACACGTTGTGTTGCACACATGGGAAGCACCGCCCGGTGGTCAGTTTTGGGGTTCTGCTTGCAAAGTGAGGTGCTTGTGACCAAGAGGTGGTTGTGTAAACACATTTGCGCACCCCCCCCCCCATTTCTGCCACGTTCCGCCTCCGAATCCAGCTGGGGAAAGGAGGCGTTTCCAGGGCCAAAGAAATCTGTGTTTTGTGTATTCACACCCACAACGGTGGAAACTCTGCCCAGGAGAAGGCAGAGGGTCAAGTCCCAAAAAACCTCACATATATATCTATATATATATATCTATATATATATATACGCATATACCCTCCTACTCCATGTCGGTGTCTTCTTTGGGTTTGTACACGGAGCCGAATTTCTGCATGTATTTCTTGATGTATTCCTTCGTTTTGTGTTTGACGTTCTCGTTGCATTCCAGGTCCTCAGGGGTCTTGCAGTATTTCAGCTCCTTGTTCATCACACCGTGAGTGAGCTGAGAGGAGTTTGGGGGGGGGGGAGAGAAGAGACCCACAGAGTATATTATATTTGTGGCTCAGCTCTGGAGTCCTGGATGCTCTCTGAGCTGAGACGTTTGGTGACACAAGTAGATAACCTCAGTGCTAGAAGGGAGGGTGGGACTGGGGAGAGGAAGAGAAAGTTCTCTCTACTCCTCTTCTCCTATTTCCTCCCTCCCTCCTTCCACATTTCCTCCCCTCCCTCAGCCTTGGTTCCTTCCACACTAGGGATTATCTTTGCCCCACCCACCCCCTGATTTTGCAGGCAGGATTTGGATCCCCCGCCCCCTGTGAGCGTAGTGAGGCAGATGCATCTTCCCGGCAGGTGAGCCACTGAGATGCGCCTCCAAGCTTCTGCTTAGGTTGCTCATCGCAAGCACAGGGTTCTACCAATGTCACAAGGAAGAAAAGAAAGAAGGAAAAGGAGAGAGAGAAAGAGGGAGGCAAGGAGGGAGAGGAAGGGAGGAAAGAAAGAGAAGAAAAAAGAGAAAGAAAGAGGGAGGGAGGGAGAAAGGAAAGAAGAAAGAGGGAGAAAGGAAGGAAAGAGAAAGAGAGAAAGAAAGAAAGAGAGAGAGAAAGAAAGAAAGAAAGAGAGAAAGAAAGAAAGAAAGAAAGAAAGAAAGAAAGAAAGAAAGAAAGAAAGAAAGAAAGAAAGAAAAAACCGGGGCTTGGGGAGTCTGACCCCCTTCGGCCAGATATATCACCTGGCAGGGACCACTAGGCCTGCTTGCCTTGGAGGCATCCAATGTGACTGCTCACCTTTCGTGCCAGGTGCTTGAAATCTTCCGTTGTGGTGATGCGCCCCACTTTGCAATCGGGTTTGCGATAGGGGTTCAGGCATTGCACAATAAACTGCGACATCTGGGGGGGGGAGGATAAAGAAAGGCAATGTGAAAATATACAGGCAGTCCTCGAGCTTATGACCGCCATAGAGCCCAAAATTTATTTCGCCAAGTGAATCCTTTGTTTTTGTCCCATTTTACCACCTTGCTTGCTAGAGTTGTAAAGTGAACCCCTGCAGTTGAGTTAGTCCCATGGCGAGTTCTAGTCCCGCCTTGAGCATGGAAGCCAGCTGGGAGGCTTTGGCCCAGCCCACCTCACAGGGTGGTGGTTGTGGGGAAAATTGGAGGAGGGGGGTGCATTAGGTCCCTTCACCACCTTCGGTTATTGATAGAAATACTAACAGCAGGATATAAATAAACAAAACAAATCAATAAACTAAAAAAAAAACAAAAAACAAACAAACAAAAAACAAAAAACAAAATATTGAAAATAAAATTGGAAATGAAAACTCACCTCTTTACGGAAGACTTCTTTGCTCTTCTTAGCCAGTTCGCTGGAAGTGTCTGCTTCAGCAGTTTTGGGCTTTTTGGAAGACTAGAAAAAGACCAACAGAAACAGAGAATTATTATAAGGAAAAAAATGTTATATTTTGCAAGTAAGGAAAGGATTTCTTTTCCCCCAGAGGAAAAGGCAACTGAGCTTTGCTTTGGAAATTAATTAATTTAATTTACTTTATTTTTCGGAATGTAAGACGCATCTTTTTCCACCTAAAAGAGGGTGGAAATTTGGGTGCGTCTTATACTCTGAATGTAGCTTTTTGAAAACTTTTTTTTAGCCCTAATGAGGTGTGGAAGATCATCGTTAAGCACCTTATTAGCGATGAAAAAAAGCTTCATTTCTGGGTTCATTCCAGCTGGGAGAAGCTAACTAAGATTTGAAGACTGCCTTAAGAGACATTTCTTATGTCCAGTTTCTATTCTTTTGGGGATAATCCCCTTTAAGGGCAAGGCAGAGATTTTTCCTATCTGAAGCTATCTGAGTTTTCTCAATGGTTTTCTTCAGGCAAGCGCTGGGCTGGTTTGTTGATTCAGCTTTGTTACATTTGAAGAGGTGTGAATTGTTTTTGGCTGTTACCACATTGTTTATTCTTTAATTTGCATTTTCCATTTTTTTCTGCGTCTGGTAACAACAACTATTTCAGAGGAAGTGTAAAAAAACAAAACATAAGGGCAAATTCAGAGCCACGGAATATTACATTTGCTGTTCAACTGGGGGGGGGGGGGTCCTGGTTGCTCTCTGAGCTGAGACGTTTCATGACCCAACTAGGTATCATCTTCAGTGCTGGAAGGGGAGTTGGGGGGGGATTTTGAGGAGGAAGAGGAAGTCCTGATAATCAGATGGCTGAAGTTCAATGACAAGCAGTTACTGTCCAACCATAGCATCTAAGACCGGTGAATTTCAATTCCCAGAATTACACCCCCCCCTCCCCAACCTTACTGGGCTGGAGAATTCTGGGAGTTGAAGCCCACCAGCCTTAAAGCTGCTGAAATTGGAGACCCATGGTTTAGAGATTACCTTTCAGGATTTATCTGAGAAGTTCTGTAATTGTGTTTTCTCTATGAGGACATTGCTGATAATCCTGTTTACGATGGGGCTGCTTAACGGCCGCTCAAAGTTATGGCAAAACCTCTCAAGACCTATTTATGACTCATTATTTTTCAACACAAACAACCACAATGACTGTGTTTTGAGTGCTTAGCAACCAACTCACCTTGACGGGCAGTTTGCAGTGGTGCTGCAGTCACACACAAACTGTGATTTGCGCCTTTTTGGGCCAGTATCCCAAAAATGCCCGTTGGGAAAAACGGATTTGCTTAATGAATGCAGACTCTGCTTAGCGATGGCAGCGTTTCGCTGAACGAGCACTTCATTTGCTTAACATCCGTCATAAAAACCCATCGTAATTTAGAATGTGTTCAGAGGATGCCTTGATTTATAATGGCAACACAACCGGAATCTCTTCTTGAATTTATAACCAGGCTAACTACCGAGTTATAACTCAAGTGGTTATATTACCTGAATAACTAGCTATGGAATGCACAGAGATGCTACCACTACAGGGTAGTCCTCGACTTATGACCGTAACGGAGTCTCCCCATTACGATCGTAGGTCCCAATGGTCATATAAAAATAGGTCAGTCACATAGCAATCCAATTTTCTGACTTTCTTGTGGTGGAACCCACTAAGGGTACAATTGTGGCAGAAACCGGAAGTAAGTAACTGTTAGTTTTTTGGGAAAAAACTGTCATAAGACATGGGTCCCCACAGTTGCAGAACGAGTGGGGAGGACCCCAGAATTGGGTTTGTTAATACCTTTTGGGGGGACATCCGTCGTAAACCTTACTATCCGTAACTTATCAGACAACGTATTTCCTGCGCAATTATTATTTTTTTTAAAATATAATTACTACAGGTATTTTAATTTATTAATATAAAACAATGCATGTTTTATACAACACAAAACAATAAGTGTGTTAATAAAAGAGTCTCCATCATCTGCAGCGCCTCCATTTCTGACCAAGCGTAACTTAGAACCTGGGCCATGGGTTTCCTATTCCGGGTCCATTGCGCATTTGAACGGTTGCTAAGCGTTTGGGCCGTAACTTGAGTAGGACTTGGGTTAGACTAGGCCTATCAGGGGGAGCTTCTCTCCGACTCACTTTCATGGGGTTTTCGTCATACGTCGGTGTGCCAAGATCCATTTCGGCTTCGTGCTCCAGGCTGGCGTCATCTTCCGGGCTGTCCCAGTTGGGCGGGTCCCATTGGGTTTGCCTGCACAAACAGGGTTGTCAGTCCTGGACACACACACCAACCCCTCCCCCCCCCGCCCCAAAAGCCACACCCCCCCAATGCTGGCTGGGGTTTTCAGGAACAGGCCCTGCCTTACCTGGTGACCACGTGGTAGTAGTAAATCTTGCCCTCCGGATCGCGGGCTGTCTTCCAGTTGGGGGGCAGGACGATGGTTTTGGGCTTGGGAGGAGATGGAGGAGGAAGGTCTAAGAGGTTGTTGGCCACCACCAACTCTGGCTGAAAGGGGGGGTGGGGGAGGAAAGGAAAAAGAAAGGAAGGAAGGAAGGAAGGAAGGAAGGAAGGAAGGAAGGAAGGAAGGAAGGAAGGAAGAGGGAGAAAGGAGAGAGACAGAAAGAAAACAAGCAAAAGGAAAGAGAGAGAGAGAAGGAGGGAGAGGAAAGGTAAAAAAGGAGAAGGGAAGAGAGAAAAGAGAAAGGGAGGTGGAGAAGAAAAGGAAAAAAGGGAAGAAAAGAGAAGAGAGAAAGAAGGGAAGGGAAGAAAGAGAAGGGAAGGGAAGAGAAGGGATGGGAAGAGAACAGAAAAAGAAGGAAAAGAAAGGGAAGAGAAAGAGAAGGGAAGGGAAGTCAATCTTCAAAGCATCTTCAAAAGCTTCAGTATTTCTAGCCTGTTTTTTATGCTTACAAAGGACAGGATTCTTTTTAGGAATATTTCCCCCGCTGGGATGTGTAACCTGGAACACATGGCTATTAAGGGAGCGTTTTCAACCTTGGCCCCTTGAAGATGTGTGGCCAGCTGCGGAATTTCACACATCCTCAAGCAGTTCAGAAGTGCCATTGTAAAAGGGTCCTCGTTTAACAACTACCCATTCAGCGCCCGCTTGAACTTATCACGGAGCTGAATAAATACTACTTAACAACCCGACTCCATACTTGCAGCCACCACAGCGTCTCCAGGGCCACTTGTGACATTTCCTGCTGGTTTCCAATGAGCAAAGACAATGGGGAAGCCAGCAGGAAATCAGAACTCCCTGTTGCGTGAGGTCCTCATTTAACAGCCCACAAAGTCCTTGCTTAACAACAGCAACTGAGAAGGGTGAAAGTATCCTCCCTAAGTAGTGGGCTCACGTGGTTTTTCAACTTATGAACGGAGCAATTTCCTGGCCCAATTACCGCCGTTAAACGAGGACCACTCGTACTAGAGAGTCCTTTTTATTCAGCATGTCTTGACGGTACCGTGACACAAAATGAACAAGCTTTCTCCCATCTCTACCTGTTGGATCGGTGGGGGCTGTCCAGTTGTGACAATAGTGGCGACCGCGGTTGTGGGTTGCACCACGACACTCGGAGGATGGGTGGTGTAAATCTGTTGTCCTTGGATGTACTGAAGACTTGGCTGGGCGTAACTCTACAACAAAAACGGAAGAGCCATTTCCAAGGATTGTCCTCAACTTATAGAACTTACATTGTATGAATTGTCCTCAACTTATAGAAGTTCATTTAGTGACCGTTCAGAGTTACAACGGCGCTGAAGAAAGCAACTCATGACTGTTTTTCACACTTATGACTGTTGCAGCATCTCCAAATTCAGACGCTTGTCAAGCTGACCCATATTTATGACACTCGCAATGTCCCGGGGGGTTGTGTGATCCCCTTTTGTGACCGCCTGCCAAGCAGTCAATAGGGTAAGGTGGATTTTCTTAACAACCACACGACTCACTTAATGGCAGTGACTCGTTTAACAACAGTGGCAAAAAAAAGGATATAAAATTGGGCATGACTCTCTGAATACCCCGCCTTGCTTAGCGATGGAAATTCTGGACTTAATTGTGATCATAAGTTGAGAACTATCCATAGATGGTCTCAACAAGCTTTGGGCAGTCCCGTTTTGAGCACCTGCCCCAAAAGACCACCCTGGCGGAAGGCCAATTCTGCCGCAACTTCACCTTGGCGAGATTACCTGCACGATCGGCGGTGTGGTCTGAGAATAAGGCGAGGTGACTCCGTAGACGGTGGGGCAGGCCTGTCCTTGGTAATAGATGGTGGGCTGAGACTGGGCCGAGGAGTAGGGGGGTTGCACTGCCACAGTGGTCTGGCTGGAGTCCCAGACGCCGTAGCTTTGTCCCTGGACCGGACCAGGCGCCGCCACAGGCAAGACGGCCACGCCGGGCTCCTGGTGGACCATGGGGTCACTGGGGGCCACGTACTGGGGTGTGGACACCTCTAGGGGGGCTCCTACGTGCTGGACCACCGGCACAGGCTGCGAAGTGGCCAGGCTGGGCTCCATGGTGTGGCCCACCAGAGCCTGGGAGGGCTCGTACGAGGCTGGCGAGCACATCGACTCCATGCTGGGGGTGGGAAGGAGCACCTTGCCAGCGTTAGGGTTGCTGGGGTCCACGTAGGCCTGCATGGGGTAGCCCGGTGGGTACCCCATGAAGGGGGGGTGGGAGGCCCCGTAGCCCAGGGAGTCGTACGGCAGGGGAGACGCCATGCCCAGGTTCTGCAGCTGCTGCTGCTGCTTCTGTGCCTCACGCTGAGCAACCTCCTGCTCAAAGAGCTTCCGACGTTCTTCGGTTGAGAGCTTGCTGCGGTCCTTCAGCCGAACCTTCTTCTTCGAACTCGTGGCCAGGGTGTCATAGCTGCGGAGAGGGAGAGGGAGAGAAAATGGGGCTGAGTGCGAGATGGCCGCGTGCAGCGAATCAGTTGGGACTAGAACTCCCCAGCGTCTAGCCAGCAGCATATCCACAAGAACAAACCACCCTGTTAAAAAGTCTAATCGCCTTGGACTCTGAGGCACCACAATTCAGGTAAGTCCTCAGCTTGAAACCATTTGTTGAGGGACCATTTGAAGTTACAACGGCAGTGAAAAAAGCGACTTATCGTTTTTCACACTTACGACCATTGCAGCCTCCCCATGGTCACATGATCAAAATTCAGACCCTTGGCAGCTGACTCGTATTTATCACTTTTGCAATGTCCTGGTGTGTGTGTGTGTGTGTGACTTTCTGACGGGCAAAGTCAACGGAAAGCCAGATTCACTTAACGGCCATGTTGCTATTTTAACAACCAGTCAGCCATTTAACAACAGGCAGTGCTCTAATTATGATCATAATGGAGACCATAACCATCGTTGAGCGAGGCTGTCGCGTGCATACCTCGCTTAATAACTGCAAAGTGGCTGTCCGTTGCAGTCATTAAGCGAGGCGCCCACGTGATTGACTCGCTCAGGATTGCTTTGTTGACCCACCTATTAAACAAGTAGTTGTAACTTTGAGCATTGGCTGCCAAGCCCCTTCATTCAGCGTGGTCACAATTTCCGCCGCTGAACGGAGGGTCGTAAGTCAAGGACTACCTGAAAGTGTTAACGTAAAAGTGGGCTGAACCCTTCCCAACTTGCCGGTCCTCTGGTCGCTTGGTGCCTCGCTCATAGGCCGAAGGGGGGGACAAGGACTCCCTCCGTTTCTTCTTCTCTTTGTTCTGCCTCTCGGGGTCCCGTTCTCTGCTCTGGTTTTTGGGGGTGGCGGGGGTATCTCGGCCCACCGCCTCTCTCCCGTGATCTGGTAGCAGGAAAAACAAAGGTGGTTTACAGGAGGGACATTTCATTAACTACCAGGCCGGATCAACTACAGGAGGGACATTTCATTAACTACCAGGCCGGATCTAACCAGAATTGGGAAGCGAGGTGGGAAAAAACAAAGGGAAAATTAATCAAAGTGGCCAATCTGCAGAATTGCCTTGTGGGGAGATGGGTGGCAAAATAAACAAACACACAAGCAAACAAACAAGTAAATGGATTGTTCAGAGTAGCAATAAACAACAGGATTGTTAGTGTTTAAAAACACTAATTTCCCTCGCTCCTCTAACTGCCTGCCTGCCTGTCTGTCTGTGCTGATCTAGGATTTTCCAGCAGCATGAAGCTCGTCCCGATAAACCCCTTTTATTTAATGTACAGTGAATTCCTCTCCAGCAAAGTCTTTCAAGATAGGTCACAATTACCGACCTTTATCAGGCTTGGAGAGTGGCCAGGCCAATAATGCCCCAATACTTGGCAAGAATGAACTGTCTGTCTGTCTGTCTATCATCTATCCATCCATCCATCCATCCATCCATCCATCCATCTATGTATGCATACATAATCTACCTACCCATAGATATGTCTGCCTGCCTCTCCACCCACCCATCCTACCTATCTACCTATCCATCCATTATCTACTTACCTACCTACCTGCCTACCTACCTACCTACCTACCTACCTATCTATATCCATCCACCCATCCACCCATTACCTACTCATAGATATCTGTCTGCTGGTCTATCCATCCATCCATCCATCCATCCCTATCTACCTACCCATCCGTTATCTACTTCCCTACCTACCTATCTATATCCATCCATCCATATATAATCTACCTACCCATAGATATGTCTATCCATCCATATCTACCTACCCATCCATTACCTACCTACCTACATCCATCCATCCATTCACCCATAATCTACCTACCCATAGATATCTATCTGCCTGTCTATCCACCCATCCATATCTATCTACCCATCCGTTATCAACTTACCTACCCACCTACCAATATTCATCCATTCATCCATCCACCCATCCAACCATAATCTACCTAACCATAGATATCTATCTGCCTGTCCGTCCATCCATCCATCCATCCATCCATCCATCCATCCATCCATCCATCCATCCATCCATCCATCCATCCTAATCAATCAGTCAATCTGAGGCCCATTCTCCTCCTCTTCCACAATGGTCCCAATATGTCTTCCAGCCCTGGCTGTGAGCTTATAAATTAGCGCTTCACCATCTTGGCTGCTTGAGGATGGGTGGATTGAAATACCCAGGATTATGGGAGTTGAAGTCCATCCATCTTAAAGCTGCCAAGGTTAAGAAACATTGCTCCGGAAGTCATCAAAAAGGGCCGTTTTTGCATACGTACCACTGCTCTCCTTCTCCACTTGACTCTTCTTGGGGATTCGGTAAACCTCCTACAATGAAAAACACCAAAGGCTAAGTAAAGGTCAGCCAAGGCACATTCAAGCCATCAATTATTATTGACATGATATAATATAACATGTAATATGTGAAATATGAAATGTAATATAGTACTATAATGTAATACTAATAATAATAAAATTATATTATAATATGTAAAGTAAATAATGCAAGATCATGTCATAGTACAATATCATATAATGCAATGTAACATAACATAACATATAATAAAAATAACAAAAATCAACACAGGAAATTATTATACAAAATCAGAAAGAATGAAATTGTTCTACATGCAACCTTTGCCGAAGTCAAAAATACTGTATTCATCACCACAAATTTCAAAATCTAAGCTTGTTCCTAATTCTTCCTAGTTCATTCATTTTTCATCAACCTGGGGCCCACCAGAGATCATGAAGCCCACCCGCCATCATCCAAAGCAGATGTGCCATGCTGGCTGAAGGCCATGGAAGTTCTACCTCACATACAGGGTATATTTATGAGCTAGCATGGATAAGAAAACCGTGATTTTAATTAAGCTTGGAGGTCATGAATTAAATCCCAGGTATGAGAGGAGAAACATCACCCATACTTGTGGGCCCTGTCTGTTAAGGAGGTCCACCTGGGGGGACCCAGAAGAAGGGCCTTTTCCGTGGTAGCTCCCTCTGTTATTTGAAAGGCCCTCTTTTTCCAGTTCCATCCATAAGTCTATTGAGATTCTGAATCACGGCTGTCCCAAAGGTGTTTTTTCAGGAGGCAAATGGACTTTTCTTGTTTTTTTGCTTTGAAGACGTTTTGCTTCTAATCCAAGAAGCTTCTTCACTTCTGGTCTTTAGCTGAAGAAGGTTCTTAGATGAGAAACGAAACACCTTCAAAGAAAGGTGCAGTGGTTAAATGCAGCACTGCAGGCTACTTCAGCTGACTGCAGTTCTGCAGTTCGGCTGTTCAAATCTCACCGGCTCAAAGGTTGACTCAGCCTTCCATCCTTCCGAGGTGGGTAAAATGAGGACCCGGATTGTTGTTGGGGGCGATATGCTGACTCTGTAAACCGCTTAGAGAGCAAAGCAAGCAAAGCAAAGCAATAGTTAGACTTATATACC